CGCTAGAATAATGTTATTCGTTATCCTTCCTCCATGCTTCTTTTTCCTCATGCTCGCCATGCCCTGCGCATTCTCCCCATCCTCCTCAGCTCTTTTTGCGGAGGCTCCTCCTTGGAGAGCCTCTGGGGGCCTCACAAAAGTTGTTTCAGGCTTTCTTAAGGCCTTCTGGAGGCCTCCCGGGCGTGTTCTGGGAACCTCTGGGGGCTTCCTCGGGCCACCCTGCCTCCAACCGCGGTCTCCCTGAACGACCGGGGCACGATTTGGAGTGCTTCGGAGGGCGTCTTAGGGCCATCTTGGGCTGCCATGGGGCTCTCTGAGGGCCATCTTGGACCCCTGTTGTGCCGTTTTGGGGCTCTCTTGGACTGCCTGGAAGCCCTTCGGATGGTTATGGGGCGATTTGGGAACCTCCCAGGCGGCTTCGGACGCCCAGAAGACCGCCGTCTTGGAGCGTCGGGAAGCCGAGGAGAACCCCAAAATAAACCAAGAACCATCAAAATCAATGATGTTTGCCTCTTGGGGTCTTCTTGGGAGTGCTCTTGGAGGCCTCTTGGGACGTTTCGGGAAGATCTTTGGGGGTATGACGGCTTCTTGGGGGTCGTCGTCGACCGTATTGGGGCTCGGGTCGCTTCGGGAGCGCGCCACGTCCTGCGAGGCGCAGGGGGCCGCTTCGAGGCCCGTCCGGATCCGAGGGTCCCGAAGCCCCAGATCCCCGGAGTCTGGTTTTTTTTTTTGGGGGGGGGGTCGGGTTTTCCCCCCGCCCGGGCTTGTAAAAATATAGAAAGAGGAATATACATCAATGACAGGATTCCCTGTATTTTCCTATACTTTCTGGGTTTTTGTCTTCCCCCCACTCCTCATATCTTCCCATCTTTTCTGGGAAATCGACGATTACTTGTGACTGTGTGTGTTTTTCCCCCTCCTGAACTTCCCCCCGTGGAGCGTGGGACGCTCAGTCACAGACAAGAGGGGTGCTGCCAGAGCCGGCCCCGGCCCAGAGCGGCTCCGGCGCTTCCGGGGAGGCACCGGTCGTCGGCCCGGAGGGCCGCAGCAGCTGGGGGCACCCCGTACCAGGGCCACCTCGGGCAACCTCCCCAGAGATCCGATGTCGAGATTTTTTTTTGTTGCTGTCTTTGAAGATTCCCCCCGCAGAGGACCCAGAGATCCGATGTCGTGATTTTTTCAATGCGGGGTCCCTGGAAGTCTCGACCCACCCACCCCACGGGACCGGTGTTTCACCCTGAGTCGTTTCTTGCCGGTCCCGAGGCCCGGCGAGGGCCCTCAGAAGCCGAAAACGGCGAAAAGCCTCCGTCTTGATTTTTGTCGGTGCGTTGGATCTCTGGGTCCGAACAGGGTGCGGCGGAGTCACGTGGCGATGACGTCGGCGTTGGTTTCCGACACCGCGGCGAAGCCAGACACCCTCGAGTCGCGACAACAAAGCGAGCGACGGGCGGCTTTTTGTCACGGCTCTCCGGCCGTGGGGCCCTCGCCAGGCCCCTGGGGACCGAGGAGGAGGAGGAGGAGGAGGAGGAGGAGGAGGAGGAGGAGGAGGAGGAGGTGTATCGCTCAACCTCGCGCGATTCGCGTGCTTCCGACAGCGCAGATCGTGCGACACCGGCCGGCCCCCTCGCGCGACACTGGCGGTGTCCAGCCTCGAAGCCCTGCGCTGGCGCGGCCGCCGTGCCAGCGCAGCGCGAGCGCGTCGCAGGGTGGGCTCCCAGACATCGTCCGCTCTGTTTTCTGTTGTTGTTCCGAATCCCCCGCCCCAGAGCTGCTGGCCCCTTCCCCATGGGGGTAGTCTCGGGTCGGGCGAAAGGGGGGGATAGCAAAAAGGGGGTTTGAGAATCAGCTCACGTAGCTGATTTTCCCGGCGCCTCCCGGCGCCGGAGGCGGCTATGCATCGAGGAATGGGCCCCTCGGTGAGGCCGAAACCAGCTGCCTGCAGCAAATTTCGTAACCCCCCCTTTCCCAATCCCCCCCTTTCGCCCGGCCCGATTCTGGCCCCTTCCCCATGGGGGTAGTCTTGGGTCGGGCATGTCCCCCTACAGGCGGATTTTGGACGACGAATGAAACAATAGTCAAAAGCACTACAACAATCGGTCCCGGAGTATTTTTTGTACGGTTTTGGAAGATTCCCCCCGCAGAGGACCCAGAGATCCGATGTCGTGATTTTTTCAATACGGGGTCCCTGGAAGTCTCGACCCATTCCCCAGGACCGGTTTTTCATCCTGAGTCGTTTCTTGACGGTCCCGAGGCCCGGCGAGGGCCCTTTAGAAGCCGAAAGCGGCGAAAAACCTCCGTCTTGATTTTGTTCAATACGTTGGATCTCTGTATTTCTTATACTGTTTTCGAAGATTCCCTCCCGTGGAGGAGCAGGCCCGACTTTTGAGGGCCGTCCTGCGCCCCAGCTCCTCCCCTCTTGCCGGCCCCAGGGCCCGAGGGCGGCCCGTGGATCCAGGCCGCAGCGAGGGAGCCACCCGCCGCGATCGACGAGCGCACGCCGACGCCCCCGAGATCCGACGGCGCAAGGATCGGCGGTGGAGAAACCTCCCTTCCCAGATCCCCTCGAGTCATGAAGAAATCACGACGCGAGGTTTTTCGCTATTTTCGGCCTCCAGGGGGCCCTTACCGGCCCTCAGGCCCGTCAAAAAACGACTCAGGATGAAAAGCCGGTCCCGGGGAGTGGGTCCGGACCTCTGGGGGTCGCGTCATGAAAAAATCATGACGTCGGGGGTCTGGGTTTAGCAAACCTCTCGGGTATAGCCAGGACCCCGGGGAAAGGGACCCGGTTCGTGGTAGGGCCCTGGGTCCCCTCAACTGGCCAGATTCACCGAACTAGGTTTGCCGTAACTGGTGTTCTTCGGGTGACGGCAGTTCCGGTTAGTGGGAACGGGGCGGGGGGGGCGCCCCCCAGTACACAGCACTAAACCAGGTTCCACTAAACCCAGTTCTGCTAACGCCCGAACCTCCCCTAAGTGAAAACGGCCTGGGACCGAAACCGACGGACCCGGACCCGCAAAAAGGACGTCCGCGACGCCCTCTCGCGAAGCGAAAGCGGCCAATCCGCTAATCGACGTGTCAGGGTGGGAGGTCTTTCCACCCCTGAAAGAATGGAGACACCGTAGATCGAACAAGACAAAACGCCATAAACACAAACTCTTGGCGCTCCGCGCGGACTTCTTGGATCCGCGCTGGGCCCCCCCCACCCGGCGGCGCCTCCGCGCCAGAAATTTGTGTCTATGGCGTTTTTCTTCTTCGAGTAGAACACATCACGTCCGGACCCCATCTTTCTGCGCCATGTGCCGAGCCGCATCGATCTGTGAGGGTCGCGGGGACCAGGCGCAGACGCCCGGCCCGAGCAGACAACACGAGACGCCAGCATCTCCGGGGAGGCCTGGGCTCGGTGCACGCCTGCTGCTCCCCAAACGGGCGACCATGGCAGCCCGGGCGCCAGCGCCGGCTCCGACCTGCAGCGCGGCGGCGTGCGCGCGCTGGGCGCTGCTGCCCCAGGCCGCGCCGCCGCAGCCGCCGGCGCGCAGCGGTGGCCGCCCGCTGGGACATGCCCGTCCCAGACTGCCTCGATCAGTCGCGCCCGCGGCTGCTCCGGCGGCGGCGTGCTGGGCGCGGGCGCGGGCGCGGCGGCGCACTGCGGCCTGGCGGCCGCCGCGTGCACGGCGCGCCACGCGGGGAGGACGCGGGCGAGGAGGACCCGGTGGCGCCCCAGGCCCTCCGGGTGGCGGCCGCACTGGCGCGCGTGGGCCGGGGCCCTCGGCGGCTCTGGCGGGCGCTGGCGCGCTGCAGCGCGGACGGCGTCCGCCCACCGGAGCACCGCCCGCGCGGCCAGCAGCCTCGCCTCGCAGCGGCCGCGCGTCTCCGCGGCGTGCAGGGTGAAGCCGCGCAGGATGCACGAGTGCAGCCACCCCAGCATGGCCCGGGCTGCCAGCAGGCGCCAGTCTCTCCCGGCCAGCAGGGAAGCCAGGTGCGCCCGGCACCGGCGCTCCCCGAGCCCGCAGCGGCGTTCGGTCTGGCCGGCGAGTGCTGCAAGCCGCCAGCGCACGTGGGCGTGCAGCAAGAGCGAGAGCATCGCGCATCTGCGCCTGTGCTCCGCGCTCGCCTCCTGGAGCAGCAGGCACCGGAATTCCGCCAAGCGCGCCCGGTGGCTCCCGGCCGCCACCACCACCAGCCGCCACCTGATGAGTGCCACCAGCAGCGCCGAGCGGCGCTGGCCACGCAGGTGGCCTGCGACCTCCACCTGCAGCGCGGACAGCTCGCTCATGGCGTCGTCCATCGTGCTCAGGGCCTCGCAGGACCTGGAGACCTCGAGGGCCTGCCACCAGGCGACGAGGGTGCGCAACCGCAGCTTGAACTGCTGCTCTCGCTCAGAGAGATCCTGGAACTTGCGGCGCTCCCTCCCCTCCAGCGCGCCGCGCCGCCACGCCGCGAGAGCTGCCGCGCGCAAGAGCCGGCGGTGACGGGCCGCCTGTGCAGTCGCAAGCCGCATGATTCTGTGCGCCCGCATCCAGCGCGACATGCAGCGCGCTATCAGGCACATCAGGGAGCTGCCCTCGAGGAACCTGGCGACGCGCTCTCCGCGGGCGCGCAGCTCACGCCCTGCGTGTAGAGCAGACTCCTCGGCCAGCGACTGCGTCCTCGAGCAGTCGCACGCTTGCCTCCAAGCCCCCAAGGCGGGAAGCAGGCAGAGGCGCTGGTCGCTGGCTATGGTCACGCACGCCAGCCTCCAGCCCGCCAGGCCCTCGCGGCACGCCCGGCGCCACGCCGCGAGGATCCGGCACCGCTGCACCTGCAACACCTCCACAGCAAGCTCCTGCCTGACGGCGTCCACCGTGGAGGCCCCCCGCGACGCCTGGTGGAACTGCCGCCACGCCGCGAGCGCTGCCACGGCCACGCAGCGCCTCTCCCTGCTCACCGCCACGGACTCCGCGCGGGTCAGGAACCCCGCCCGCCTGCAGGAGCCCGCCCACGCGGCCATGGCTCTCGCCAGC